CATTGACTTACATGGGGAAAGAGTGGTCTGTAAATCGTTGGATAATTTTTTTTAAACTAAATAAACTACCCAGTATGAACACTTGTATAGCCCTTATTAAAAACATTCGTTCCTCAAGTTGTAATAATGTGCTAATAACGTTATTCTGAGTTATTTCCCTCTGCATTATGAACGCGCATCTAACCCACGGGACCGCGCCGCCCGGCACGTTCATGTTACGTGTCCCGACCAATCAGAGCACACTGTGCTCACAGGAAGGGTGGGGGCTGGAGGTATTGGAGCTACAACGAGCCGTTAAAGGCAGAGAGTGAAATTCAGTGAATACACGTAGTTTACAGAGATGCTGTTTGAGAAACCAATGTGAGTTGCGTTTATCTTTACCCATGGATGCACAATAAGAAAGGACCCATATCGCCTTACTGCCATCCCACGGAGTTGTAATAATGGATATATTGCACATGTTTGCTGTAATTCATTATTATACTACATGGGCTGTATGATTACATTTTGTACTGTAAATGTTGTATTAAATAAAGTTAATATTACCGACGTTATTAACGTCCCTGTAGCTTCGTATTGCACTAGGAAGCTTATTACACTGTATATATACAGTGCAATAATTATGTCATGCTAAATTAAGCTCTGTTGCTTGGATATCACTAGATCCTGTTACAGCGTAATATAAGTACATAACGATTGATGTTTACATTAGCATAATTACTAGCTAGCCGCTTGCTGCTAACTGCCGCCTCGTTAATATCAAATCCATCATAATAACAAACCATTACCATGCTGTCATGAACGCGCGGTTCTGTTACGTGTACGCAAATTGACGTGCTTGATGTGAACGAGCATTTTGGTTAAAGTTGCGCATGCGCTATGAGTGCACATACGGGTACTTCTCAGGCATGCCGGGTAATCTGTGATGTTTCACTCTCTCAAAAGTTGGGCCATTTTGTTATCATGCGCTAATGAGCAACTCTCATAGGAATGAATGAGGCCCCGCCTCCCACGCTGTATCCAGTTCTTATTATACATCCATGAGCTCAGCGCGATTCACAACGTCCCGACTGGTCCCGACCAACTGGGCACACTGGGAGGGGGGGCAAGAGCTGCAACGAGCCGTTTAGTGGAGAGAGTGAATACTGCTGAATACACATACTTTACAGAGATGCTGTATGCGAAACCAATGTCCATCCATCCATCCATCTTCTCCCGCTTATCCGTGGTCGGGTCGCGGGGGTAGCAGTTCCAGCAGAGAGCCCCAAACTTTATTTTCCCTGGCGACATCAACCAGCTCTGACTGGGGGATCCCAAGGCGCTCCCAGGCCAGCGAAGAGATATAATCCCTCCACCTGGTCCTAGGTCTACCCCTTGGTCTCTTCCCAGCTGGACGTGCCTGGAACACCTCCCTAGGGAGGCGCCCAATGTGAGTTTGGAAAATTGCACAGTATAAATCTATTCTAGTAGACCTCAACAATGGAATTATGATCAGTGGAAATGGCCATGACATGGGTTAGGGTTAGGGTTAAATATGTATTACTAAATAAACAAAATTACTAAATGTATTCTGCCGAAAATCTTTCCTAAAAATGCACTCTTCAGAACTGTTTCAGTAACTCATGCTAACAACATGGTATCAAGACGTTTTTGAAAGGTACTTAGCCTTTCTTAATGAAATAATTAATTAAAAGAGCATTCCTAAAGAGTAACATATTCAGTGAGAACCAATGGGCTTGGGACTATGTGCCACAGACATGAAAGGTTAGTCGGCCCCCTTATCCCTTCAAGAAAACACACATATCCCTTTGCCATAACGCTTTATAGTGTCAACGGCACAACATGATGACTGACTGATAACTCAGTCGTGAATGTGAGGGGAAGAAAAGGAGGGAGGGAAAGGACTGAAGGAGCATGGGATTGTGCAGAGATTGAGTGAAAAAGAAAAGGAGCTACAATAGAGTGCTATGGATGGGAGGAAAGGGAGAGTGAAGGAAAGGGAAGTGAGAGAGAACGACATCCTCTTCTCCTATATAAAGACTGCGAGTGTGCACAGGATACAGAGAGAGACAGAGAGAAAAGGGGAGAAGGAGGAGGGAGTAGCAGAGCATGCAGAGGAAACGAAAGTGATAGGAGCAGGCAGTCAGGCAGAGCAAAAGAGGGAGGGAGGGAGTGTGAGAGAGTGGGGGGAGCAAAACACGCTCTGCACGTGATTCAATCTGTTCACATGGCCTTGTATTACGCCACGTTATAAATACTTGATGTAAGGGGCTTCTTGCCGCGTAAACCCCTCACCTTTTATTCAGAATGGATCTTGAGTTTTGAAAGCAGCATGGCAGACACCTGCAGTGCAGATTTGTTTTTATTTCCTATAGAATATTGGATGAAAGCAACAACGTCGCCGTGAATCCCCTGAACAGAGGAATGCAGAAATAATGCATCAGAGCATGTACAGCTCTGTTGTCGTTCACGGAAGAGAGCTGAAGCTGTCATCCGCTCTCTGAGTCTCTGTTATATAATGATGGATAGGCCTTTGCTCAGTGCTCTTCTCTCCTACAGCAGCACGAATCAAACCCAGGATGTGTCCTGAATTCCTGAATTCAACAAACACACACACACTGGTGTTTGTAGGCCAGCTGTAGGCCTTCTCTGCATTGTTTCCACAAAACATCGACCTGATTAAGTGTCTCTACAAAAGCCTGCCTACTGAATTTAAGGCTGAGGTGCTACAGTGAACCAGGATTGGCGCAAAGACAAGAGATTTTAGCATGTTAGCCGAGTTAAGCTAAAGGAGTGATTTGAGCTATAGGGGAGACAGTAGGCTAGTCACTGTGACCTTTTTACCTGTGCTGGACTATGGTGATTTGATGTATATGAATGCACCCGCCAATTGCCTGGTCAAGTTTGATGCTGCGTATCACAGCGCACTGAGATTTGTGACAAACTGTAAAGCATTAACCCATCACTGTACCCTGTATGCAAGGGCTGGTTTACTTTCACTAACTGTACGGAGGCTCAGTCACTGGTACATTTTGATATACAAAGCCATGTTAGGGAAACTTCCATCCTACATCTGCTCCCTGATCTCACGGAAAATTGTAAGTGGCTACTGCCTGAGATCGCATGCTGTAGTTTTATGAAATGTGCCAACTGCTAGGACTGTCTTAGGGAAGATGGCATTTAGATGCGCAGCTCCTCTGTCTTGGAATAGTCTGCAATTGAAATGGAAACTGAGCAATTTGGTGCCACTAAATGTTTTTAAAGCTCGGTTGGATGCTACTCAATCGGAAGCTGTTGGTACCTGTTCATGTGGATAGTTATTGTAAATTGTAATCCCTGTAATGGTGCTGTAAGATGTCCTTTTTGTTGTTCTGTTTATGTTTTTATGTTTCATGTGGAACCTACTTGAGCAGGTCTCCCTTGAAAAAGAGATCAATGATCTCAATGGGATACACCTGGGTAAATAAAGGTTTGAAATGAAATGAGTACCAACATATTCAAGAAAACTACAACCTTGTATCACATTTGAAACACATTGGTTGTGTTGTATAATGTGTGTCTGCTGATGTGTGCAGATGTTATTTCAGGTCATGATAAGGTGTGTCAGGACACATACACATGTTTTAGTCAGGGTTACGCAATTGCATGTTTTGGTATATGAATCATAATTTGGCCGATTGCCAAAAAAGGAGATTGCTATTGTGTATGAGTGCATAACATAAGGATAGTCAAATTAATTCAATAGAAAATTAAAGAATGTAGAAAGAAATCAAGAAATTCTTAAAGTATGACATTTAATTAGAAAGATGAAAAAAACACCACTACAAATATGTACTACATTTGCCAATTCCAATCAGGTTACTTGAATACTTGAAAAAGGCTGACAGTGAGAATGGTTGAATATTTTTCATAAATACACATTCATGTTTGAAAGTGTAAGGAATAGCATGATTTGGTGTCATTTGATGTATGGTGTATATTTTGTATGTTATGGCACATTATGATGTTGAACTGGGATATTGTATAATCTAATACATGGGATGAGATTAGAATTTGGATTTTTCTTATTGTCATTGCAAACATCTTATATCTTGCTGTCATGGATGTGTCAGTCAGCAGTCGGCTCTGATTGGAAAGGTTTTGATATGTAATGGTACGGCACGGTAGGTATGTCGGTAAGCACCATATATCTGTCTTCTACGTCATTAACGGGAAGCGTTGCCGTTGCTGATAGTACCAGTACTACACATACACACCGTCAAACACGCGCCTACATAGCCAGGCAAGCCCCTTAACGTACTCACACACACACACGCCCACACTCACGCACACATGCACAAACACACACATCCAGCACCCTTCTCTCGCCCATGCGGAAACATGAATGCTTCAAGCATCCAGCTGCATAATCTCCAGCTCAAACCATAAAAATGGTCACGGTTTATAATGATAATGGAGAGAAAAAACGGTTCGGCTGTGTGTTTTCCATCTGCTGTCAAAGACACGTCCCATTCAAGAAAATACGCCAAAGCACAACCCGAGATGGAGGAAGGAGGAAATACTATTACAGCACATGACACAAAACCACAATCTGAGAGCAAAACAGCCAAAGATACTGTCTGATGATAACTGTAACAGATACATTACATGCATACCTGCAGGGGCATGGTGCTGGTAAGCCACTTTAACATGCAATGTCAAACCTATTTTGGGTATCACGTTAAAAAAAAAAGCTCAGCGGTGCAGCTATAGCGTTTGAGCACCACGGACAGCTCTCGGGGTTTTCAGCATTCAGACCGAGAAGTCACTCCTCTTAATATTTGAATATGTCATGCTTAAAATCATGCACGAGTGAAAGCACACTTAGTTGTACATCCCATTTCTCTCAAATCTCATCCAAACCTCTTATCCAACAACCGTTTCCGCGTTAAAACACACCTCAGGATGCACTTCACCCAGCCCCTTTTTACTCGAACAACCTCAAGTACTGCTACTCCTACCTGGTCATTCCCATCCCGGGGCCTCCGACCCCAATCCCTCCCCCTGCAGCAGTTCCGTTGACCGGCTTCATGTGCTGTCCTGCCCCCGTGCCTGTTGCGGGTCCTCCGGGCATCGCCGACCCCATCATGACGGCGGCTCCCGGCTCTCCGGGCTGCCCGCCACCCTCCATGCTCGCTTCGTTCCCCATCTCAGTCTCGGCTCAGGAGACGGGAGGGAGAAGGAAAAGGTGGACGGTCAAAAGCGGCGGTGTCGCTTATATATGTCGCTATTTTTCTATGTAATCGGTAAAAGAATGAATGGAAAAAGGGGGGAGCGAAAGCTGGGAGAGCGAACTCAGCGTTGCTCCTCCAACACCGCCATCATCATCATCATCAGCCAGGACCAGGGCTGCCTCCTGACGTGATGACGGGAGCGCGCCGAGCGGCCAAGGCGACTGAGAGGGGGGGGGGGGGGGGGAATAAAAGCGCGAAAGGCGAGAGGAACCGAGATTGGCTTAGATCAAAGTTAAATGAGCCCCGTGAGCGAAAGTGGGTCGCAGAAACAGCAAGATTAGGATACAACAAGCAATACGGAGAGAAAAATGTTGCACAATATGACCTCAGGTTGGCGATCATCACAAGGAAAATAGACACAAATTGAAAGAAAATTAAATTACTTAGGCTATAATGGAGGTATTCATATCTTGTTTTCTCCCTGAACATTCATTGTCCATGTTCATACCTTGGACAATGTTTTATATTAATATACCACATTCAGATGTATGCTGTCATAAAGGCTTCTGTTACCCGAATTACACAACTATGTTCAACTAAATTACCAATCACCCATCATACCATAGAAAAATAACACTTTAATAGGCCTATGTCTAGTCTGCTTACAGAAGGGAGTAATTGCAATGTATGAATGTTCCGCATACATGAGCCAAACACACTCTCCGTGATCACGTTATTGGATTTTCTCACAGCTTTGAAAGGCAGAATTGCGCAACACAGACGCGTGCACGAGCTATGTGGCTGTATATGCTCTGTCTTGAGGCTTAAGAGACGAGAGAAGGTGAGAGTGAAGAGAGGCAGTGATGGAGGGAGCTTCTGTATGCGTGCACGTTCACGGGACACTTTCTCACTTGAAGAGGGGCTAAAAGAGCGACACGAACGCGCAGAGGCGTCAGGATGAACTGCACCGGAGCGTCACGTGTCCAAAAAACACTCTATGGTGTTACACACCTGCTGGCAGTATTCAACCTGAATGATTTCTTAATGGACTGGCTTCTGTAGGCTGTGTATCGATTATTTTTTATTAGAAATTAATTATGAGATGTAACTGTTGGTTTATGGTCCTTTGATTGATTGAAAATTGTGTTTGAGAATTAAAGCACTTACTGCAGTCAGCTTAACTAAGCCAAGAGGCAGTCCCTGATGTGTTATGCATGCGTCCAGGAATGTAGCCAGAAATGTGTAACTCTATAGCTGGTCAAAAATGATTAATTATTTATATTTGTGCCAGGTATGTTATGATCGAGAATAAACTAATGTAATAAAAAACAAAAAACATGTTTAATATATCTAATTGTAGAATGTAAAATCTTCCTTGTGATGTCCAAAAATCCTGAGGCTTCCTGATGGGTTGATCTGGGCCTGTCTGCCACTATGTTCATCACTATAAAGCAAAACTTTAAACATCAGTGTGTATCAAACAACTAGAAAAATAATAAGCCAAACAAAAAAAGAATAGGTCAAATGTCAATAGCATTTGTCGTACGCAGAAACATTTGACTTTCATAGCTGAGGTTTCTATTTAACCAAGAACAACTGAAATGTTTCCTGTTCAGTTCACCCATTGCAAACATTAGAAAGACCTTAACCGTTGCCATATTTAATTTGAGTGACCTGTCATAGCAGCAGCAACAACAACAGCAGTGAGGACAAAATAGCATCGACACCAAACATGTTAAAGAGAAAGGGAGAGTTAGAGAAAAACAAAGGGCATTACATCCATCCTTCCCACAACAAAAACAACAAAGTCGGTCAGATAACCGCCTCCGAGCAGCGCCTCACCCTCCAGCCTCTGGGAAAAGGTCCACTCTCTGTTCCCTTGCCAAGTGTCTCCCTCTGAGGCCAGACTTTACAGAGAGGAAGAAAAGCTGCCAGCGAACTTCAGCTGCACACTGTGCAGTGACTCTCTCAGCGTAAAGGGAAGAGACAGAGTGGTGCTGCAGCTATGAAAGATAAAGTAAAACAACTCTCCTCTAAGCTTCTTTCAGATTTCAGATTTCACAAATAATTCCATGAGTTTCATTTTAAGAAACTTTTTTCCCTTTTGGTCAAATTGTTTGTTCAGCCCAGGGTTAACAGGGCTAAAAACAGGCATGTTACTGTCGGTCAAGATGACGCCGGGGCTGATTACTTAAGTTCCTCGTCAACTTTTATTTTTTCCCCATTTTTTATTTCCTATAATTAAGCTTTAACTTGTACTATTTTACGAATGAGATTGTCTTTTTTACATTTAAATGAGCATTGTTGAGGAGAGCCTGTACGGTGGCTGACAGGGGCCAACGCGGTAAAACGGCCCAAAACACTTCCAATAAGAGATACACTACAATTTCAAGAACGATGCAAATAAAACAACATATTCTCTGTCACTAGAAACGTACAGGAAATGTTTTTTTGGCAAATGTTATGTGATCACATGATTCCTTTAGATCTGCTAGCTAGCTAACGAAACTAACCTAATCATTTCAAACATGCTGACAAAACGTGTACAGAACAGACTAACTCTGCCAACAGTGACTGTTGGCCAGTTTTATAATCCCTCAACAAGCGTTCCGGTCCCAGCTGTGTATCTCTTTTTTAGTGTCTCCTTGTTTTTGGAGCATTTCGTTTATGCAGAGCTTTTAGTAAACTGTGTGCATGCTTCCTCAAGTTTGTGAATGTCTAAATGCTGCCCATTTGTTGTCAAGTCGGTAAAGATGTTCGTCCATTTTCATGTGTTTTGGCACATTGGTGTTTTTTATATTTTCCAAGTTTTTTAAACTTCATCGCGTAAGTGTATCGCACTTGCCTCTGTCAGCCAACAAAAGCATGAGATCTAAATGTCTTCATTGGCACAACTATGTAAGAAATTAACAAAAAAAATTTCACATGATTGTGTTTTCAACATTTACAATTTACGCTACAAACAAGAAGGAAAGTGAAGAAATGTATATACATTTTAAAAAATGCCATTGCCTCCAACAATGTTCACACTACGGTAAAAGGCCTATGACTCAAAAACCTAAAAGCTAGCTAAAAAGGTCCAACCACAGACTCATGAATATGATTTATCGGGATAACAGTAAACTCCACTGCACTTGAAAGCATCAGGTAATCCACACATACTCATCAGCACGACATCAAGCAAAAGCAACATAGACACATTTACATTAAGAACAAAATGGCAGCACATAACCTAAAGCAGAGCTTATGGGACACAACAGAGGCAGTACAGACACCTGCCTGTCATACATAACGCAGCCTTTTAAACAGACAGGCTTGAAAAGACCAGAACATATTTACAAAAACACGAAGACCTTGAGGAGACGCAACAAAGCTCTCCTCCATGAAGTTACAGAGTTAAAGAGAGAACTGAGACTCTTAAACGCAACAATGCTGATTTGATTCACAGCAAAGCAAATGCAAAGTTAAGCACTCCACAGGGACAACCCAGCTAAGTGCCAAACGTAGTCAGATTCTGGCTTTGTGCCAACATACGTATAGTAAGTAATTGTGCCTCCACAGAGCACTCTGCATAGAGCGGCAGAGAAATGCTCGTTGGATAATAATGCCAATGTTGTCTAATTTACACACTTCAGTGAATACACAACAACAAGGTGAAAAAGCACAAGCGTGACCTTTGGGTGCCCTGCCATCTTTGTCATGTGTGTAAGATTTGGTAAATGTTACATATTAATCACAAAACCACTCATGCAGATAGTTTGGTCTAGTGCCATTTTTCATTCTCAGTTTGTTTACAGAGAGATCTGAGGATTATGGCATGGGACATTTGAGGAAACATTTTCATTCCATTGGCAACAGGATACAATTAAAAAACAATTGTCAATTCATTAGCTTCCGTGCTTTAATTTGCATGATTTTAAAACTTGTATTAACTGTAGGGCCACTTGGGTAAACACAACACCAATATTCGGCCAACTTGTTAGCAAACAGTTAGCATTTATTTTGAGTCTTTCCTTTACTTTTTGCTTAATCTTCACCTACTCCTGAGAGAAATACCTGACTTTTAAGCTGATAAAAGCTCCACTATGTTTACCGGCTAGCTGCTGACCAGAATAGTTTCCGAATAAGTGTCAAATGGTCAGTTATGGATTACTTATGTTCTCTTTATCATAAATTGAACACCTGTTTAGTTTTGAAAGGTCGTTTTTTTAAAGTTTTAAATATACATTTTGAAATCTGATATGATATAATCTGCTAACTAAGTGATATATCTGGGGGTGGTGGATCTTTTTTTGAATATGTAATTTAGAAGTTTGACGAAGTAATATGAAGGTATATGAATGTAACATGTTATGTACGTGTAGACTTAAGATTCAAAATTCTAAGCCCCCATGAAAAAATGTTTGTCAACTGACTTCAAACACAGCTAACGCCTGCCAGTCTTTACTGACCACAGTAAGCTTAGGGACATTTTTTAATTGACCCTTGGAGGCCATAAAATAGCCTCCACCATTTGTCATTTTTACAGTACTAGACTAATGGCAAGACTCCAAGCGGTCTCTTTTCAATCTGCTATCATGAAGTGGCTGGTGAATTGTGGGACCTAACACACAGTTTCTCATCCAGTGAACAGTCTCCTGCTCGGGAAACCTGCGACACCGGGATCGATCACTTTGACAGACTGACTCATTGACGCGACTGTGGGGGCGAATACTTAAGGAGATTAAAATGAGCAACGTGCCAGCGCTGCACTTCATACCAAGCAACAGGCCGAGGCAGGGCAACCCTATTGGTTAGCTGGGGACGGTTTGTAGAAGGATTTATGGGTGGGGTTGGACCCCCATCAGCACTGCCCGAGTCCAGAGGTAGCAACAGAGGAAACTCAGGTCATTCATCTCCTTCCAGGGTGTCTATCCTTCCTTTGTCTTCATCTACCTCCACCAGCAAGTCAGGAAACGAGGCATTGAGAAATTAGAGGACCACACAACTATTTTGGCTCCTCCATGAACATCACACATTTGAAATAATAAGTATATTTTGCAATCATTTGCACGTTTGTTTCCATTCATGTGTATTGAAATTATTGGGAAATAATCTTTGCCTAAATGTGAAACACTGTGTGTGTATGCTTTGGAAAGGTATTTGAAATTATCAGATTATG